AGAGACAAATAATAAAAATTATACTTTTAAGGTAGTTCAATATTGTAAAAATGATTAAAAAAATATATCACATAATATTTGCTAGATTAAAAGTTATTAAAGATTCCATTATACAGTAAAAAACAATTTTCTTTTATCTAATAGGTTTGATGAGTTAGTGTTGATGAGGAAATTATTTTTTATTAGTTTTAGAGAGACAGTGTGGCCGAGTCGGTAGGTAACATAGTGTGCTTGAAACACACTGCCTTGGATTCGAAACTTGGTCACGGACGGCTTCATTTGCCGGGCGAAAGATCAGTTTGATAATTGGAGTTTTGGAGCCATTCCTCTCTTCGGCGATGAACTAGCCACCTGTCCCGAAGTATCAATGGTAAAGAAACCACCTCCTTTGAGGTTTGGGGAAGGTGCTATAACCATTAATGGACTTGAAAAAGCGATAAAAAAACAAAAAGTATTTCAATTATTTTTGTGTCAGTCACATAATTGTTTTGCTCCTCTAAACTAATTCTACTCAACAATACGTCAAAATATCATGAAACCTATTTAAAGTTTATCAGCTAGGGCGTACTTAGATAATCATAATTGCGTAGAGGAGGCACAAAAAAAAGTTTTCAATTGATAAGGTCCTAGTTTTTCAACAATATTATTTCGTTTTTGCGAAAAACATATAATTGCCATTTAAACCAAACACATGTGTTTATTTAAATTATTATTGAAGAAATTTGTCAATGTTTGGTTAATATTTTGAAAATAATTCCATAAAAAATTCATAAATATTACTATATTTTTTAAATCCATTTTTAATCATTTAAATAATTTGTTTTAGAGATACTTGAGGTATCTACTTATCATTTTGTATATTTTTTTTATAACTCTGACCCTTTACCTGCCCACAGGGGAATTCAAAATGACAACTTTTTGACAAAAAATTAATTTTTAAACATAGCTTTTAAAAGTGTTTCAGACATACTGACTTTTTTATATATATCTTAAATTAAAGCTAATGTAATGTTCTTTAATATGAAAAAAAAAAATTCGGACTTTATTTTGTCTTCGCGGTGAAAATGGTTACCGTATGCTATTGTTGTGTTAAAATGTTCGAATTTATATTTTACATTTTTAACTTTATATTTCTATAACTTTTTGAAAAATGTATGGATCAATACAATTTTTTTACAAGAAATACTATTTATACACCTCTTTCATAACTTGAGTTCAGAAAAAACGGTCGGACGGTGGTTATTTTTTTGTTTACTGTACTCCACGGTCGACGATCAGAACTCCTATGTAAGTAGGTGGCTTTTTTGTTAAATAAACTTAGATAATCAATAATACGGCCAATGATTACTAAGCAATGTTAATTATTACACAACAGCCATACAAGATTTCTGAGAATACCGTTTATTTCTTTCAATATATAATTTCAAATGTAAGGGTATATAATTGTTTTATATAAAATAAATACTGCTATTATTTTTCGAAAATTGTTTTTTTATATATATAAAATATATAATAGTTTCATTTGGGTAAACATTTTGTGTTTTTGCAAAAAATAAATACAAATCCTTGAGATAATTCAGTCCAACAATCAAAATTTAAATCTAATTAATATCATTTAAAAAAATATAATGCTTAAATTCAGTTAGATTAAATACAATTTTAGATGAGAACATTTTTAGTAACATCAAGTGTTCTATTGGCAAAATTTTAGGGTCCATAATTAAACATGAAATACAATTAAAAAAAATAAATGTTTGTGCTATTATTCTCTCAGCTGTTGCCTGTCGATATGTTAAGAAAATGTTAAGTTAGTGTCTATAAAACTATTATAAAAGATATTTATGATTGCCATAAAAAACCAAATTTAGCGAAAACATTCATATATCACGTGGGCATGATAAATTTGATATTTTAATTGTAAAGAACGAAATTGTATATTTTCTGTGTAAAAAAAAAGTACAGTAATACTACAGTAGCTAACTATAACTCATCCCACATTAGGATTACTTACTTAAGTACAAGTATTGGCTGGGGTATTAATAAGCCGGTTGAATAACACTACAGTGAAACGATAGCAATAAATATTTCTGAAATAATAAACGATTTCAAAACCCATTGTGGTATAATTTTGATGCTGTAGCACGTACTTGTGCAGGGTGAAGAGTAAGTTCCCAACGAATACTCATACACACAGGAAATATGAGGATGTAAGGTGTGTGCGGAATATCAAGCACGTCTAATGAAAAACATAATGTAAAATCAATAGCGACGGATATCCGTAGAAATATTAACGATAATATGAATATTTTTACTCTAATATAATATGACCGAACAAAGATTTTTGAATCATTACCATAATTATGCTACTTTAATGTAATTAATTTATCGTTTTGAGTGCGTTGATGGTTTTATTATTAAAATAATATTAATAAAATGACGCCATAGTGAAAACGTTTCAGACATACCTAAAATCAAAATTACGCGTATTCAAACTATTAATAGTAAACTACCCAAATGTAAATTGAGAAAAAAATCTAGTAAAATCAACTAGTTTATTTTAATATGCAGAATGTCCCGCCGTGATTTACTAATTTGAATTAGGGTTTCGTCTTGGGGGGGGATATACATAAAAAAATGTTCACTCTCCGTCCAAACGAAAAAAAATTGTATCTTCACCATAGAATTATTTTTCTAATGGAGGTGTGATATGACACTCATACCCCATGATTACGCCAGTGTAGCCGTTAAAGTATTCGCCGATTTTAATTAACATAAAATATCAATTTTAATATTTATTCATTGAAGTTATGAAGTCATATCAATTTCATAATCTTCCAAGACATTAAAAACTCGTTGATATATGCCGTACACCAATTTGTTGGTATGTTAATACACAAGTCTGTAAAAAAATTAATGATATGAAACATAAATAAGAAAAATAAGAAACATAAATATTAAAAGACAAATAGAGTATTATAATCTCTATTTTATGCAAATGGTCGATAATAAATCAGATTGTAAATAATTTATTGATAAGAAGATAAGGTGAATCAAAAAGTAACATTGCACAAAAATAAAACAGTTCATAATTTTCTAGAACCCTTCGATTATATAAGTCGTCATGAATCAAACATTCTCGTCTTATGTAATAGTCTTAAATTACAAATTTGTCATTTTATACTAAAAGCTAATGTTTGTCATAGACGTGCAAAAAAATTCATGTTCCGATAAAAAAAAAGACATGGGCAATAATGGTGTTGACTATGGCTAACTGCTTTTTACAACGATGTCCTTGAACGTTCAACTCGTTCGATCTGTAAAACAATAAGTTGTCTATAAATGATATTTCAAAAATAAACCCAAGAACGCTTTCCCATGTTGTCTATAAGTTTTGCATGGTGTGTGGAATGCACATGAAAACTAAAAGTTGAGTTGCACACAATAGAGAAAAACAAACGCGTTTGCCGCGGAATTCGATGTGCACACACGAGGTGCGGGGAAATTTAAATAAGAATATAGGACCGGTCTTGGAAAGAAAATGTAGTGCATTTAGAATGATGTGGACAAAGTGGAGTCCCCATTGTGTAGGAACATGTTTAGCGCGGCACACACGGACTTAGTTCACACGCGTTTTTATTTATTACGACCAGCACACAACGGAATTCGACTCATTTTCTCAAAACAACAGAACTCGTGCCCTTTTTGTAAAATAAAATTTTACAAAATCCGCCGTATTAATGCGATTATCCACTTCGCATTAAACTCTGGAATTATCTGTGACTATCACACTGGTACGTCAATCGCCGTATGAGATTAAAATTAATCGGATAGTTTATGTTGTCAATATTATGAGCTGATATGTTATTTTTTATAACGAACCGTGATGTTAAATAAGTGACTATGCTGATGCATTGCGTAATAGTCATTAGGCTTAAATATGTGTGTAATCTTAATAGCCTTTAATGGCGTTACAGAGTTGCCTATGAAAATTAAGATTTTCCTTTTTTATAGCACGCACGTCTTTATTTAGTTTTTCATCCTGAAAACTACATGATACCGTAAAAGATAAGCGGTGGTCGATTTTAGCCGTTTTGCGTTCATCAACCGTCAAATAAAACGTGATACAAATGAGCTACAATGTTTTATTTGATGCAACTGCACACCATTATACTTTTATGTACATGTATCATATTTAATTATATACAACTAGTTGAGTTTTAAAAATGAGTAGATAGCACACTATAAAATCTGATAAAAATGTTAATTAAAAAAACTAATATCTTCACTTATGCAGAGAGGAGCGTTTTTAACCTCCAAGTGCGCGTTTAATACCTTTATAGATCGATTATGTTTTTAATACGACTAAAATATAATAGAACTTGTTAGTTGAATATATAAATGAAATAAACTTTTTAAAATAGGCAATTTAAATAACTGCTGTAAAACTATTCTTCATCGATTTAAAACCAGTAATAAATGCACATAATTACAACTTTAAAAAGTGTTATGTACTCAGTTAGCCTTATAGTTTTGTAAAATTAGAAACGTAGGCATGAGAGCCTCCACAAATATAGAGTAGATATACTTTTTTGTTTTTATTATCATATTATTTATCAGCCATATTGATAGTAAAACAGATGATAAAACTTTATTTATACAAGTAGTTCATATTCTATGGACAATAGAAACAATATAATTAACCAAGTTATGGGGTAGACAATGGACATGTAATTCGCGCAACTTTCTCTTGTAACAATAACAGTTGTCAACCTAAAGGTATTATCGTAACATATATCGATATTTATCTTTATAAATATACTTCAACGTTAAATTTCATCTATATCATAGTATAAAGTTAACAATAATTGTAAACTGTAATAATAATGTGTAATGAAGAAATATAATTTTGTACATTCATATACCTTGTTTCGTAATCATGTCCATCTAATATTAAAAAAACAGCGATAATATTACTAGCTAAAGGAAGGTATTTATTTTTCTGCTCACGTGAAGTGCATATTACATAAAAGTGCACTAGTCTATTTTGTTAGAAATAAAAATGTATAACAGGTCGAAAAAGGTATAGCGGATGATTACTTTTGTGATTTAAAAATAATGTCAGCATGCCAAAAATTAATTTTGTATTTAATAATTCATCAAATGAAACGCTGTACTAATGTGGAATAACAATTTAACAATATCTGTCAGGTCTCCACAAATAATTTTTGTAACATTATTTGTCTATAAATAACTTTAAAATTATTAAATCTGAAAATAATCATTTGATCTGAATATTTAATTATTACGTTAATTTAGAAGTATACTGTTTAAATTTAAACCAACCATTACTCAATATGGACAAAAAAAAAAAAAATGTCGAATGGAATCTTTTAAAGATAAAAGGAAATTAAGGAAAAAAGTAAATTTTTAAAATAACTTATGAATAAATTAACACAAATATTAGAATTTTGTAGGTGATTATTATTATATTGTATATTATTGAAATAGTTTCTTCTAACTTTTTATTAATTAAATTAAAATTTTTAAAGCTGTAGTCAGAACCAAAGGCATTGAATTTAAAATGAATGAAATTACATCACATTGCGTCATTACGTTTAAAGTGCATCCACACAAAGGAAACTTAACTGTAAAATATCGTATAATTCAACGAGGAGTTGTGACACTCCCATGCAGTTCGTATTATTATTTGGTATAACAAACAGTAGATATTTTTTAACTTGAATGTGTATGTAATTTATTTTATTTTAATGTATTAAAAATTTAATTTCGATATGAAAAATTAAAATTTAGAACTTATAAGTTGAATAATTATGAAAAAATACTAATTAAGTTTATTGATACTCCAAACAGGCATGTCACTATGGCAGGCGGCCGATCATTCAACTTTGAAAATAGGCGTACGATTGTTCATATTATTAAAAACTTGTTTTACATTGATACAATACATTGTAACAACCAACAGTTGTATAGGTATAAAAATGTATATTTCATCTAATAGGATAGTGAATAGCACAAGGAACACCGAATTAGGTGGCGAAGTATGAAATATCAGTCTTTAACACCAACTAACATTAATTGAGACAATCCTTCAAAATATAATGACTATTAATTACTTAAATGAGTGTTTAATTTTTCATTTGATATTTCTCAAATTAATGTATAATACTAACATTGTCATCATTCTTTAGGCATCCATTATAGATTTTATTGACGTAAGCTAACTAAAAAAATTTGGTTGTTTTTTTTATGTCAAACACGGCTAACAAAAATAAAAAACAAAAAAAAATTGACAAACAATTTCCACAAAAAGTGTAATATTAATACGTAATAGAAACTATTATTCGAGCTAGTAAAGAATTACTGAATTTTTATAGTAATAACTATTAGTTGTTATTCATCTTTTTGTATAATATTTTTATAATAAATTATATAAATTAGTTTACTAGTGTTATTAAGAGAACACATGATATAATTATTTCTTTTAGGAAATCAAAGTTTTGACACTAAAATAATTATAATATTCATTTAATAGTTTAACAATTTTAAATGTCCATCTTGATTAATGCACTCTTTATTTCTTTTATTAAAATACTAATTATCATCACACTGATAAATTTATGCTCAACTATTACGCTGAGACCTTGATAACCTAACATAGTTTAAATCTGAAAAACGTTTTTAGTATACCTCTAATTTTAATCAAATTCATTTTTTTAGGGATTAAGCATTACCTTACTTCTGTATGTGATCCAATGATTATTACTAGTAATGACAAAGATATATTGATTTTTCAATTCAGTATATCGCGAATTTTACATCTATATTTAATGGCTGATGTATCGTTAGCCTCAATACATTATTATGCAGAATATATAATATATATCATGATTTATTGAAATAAAATATTATCTCTTTTTTGAATTTATGACTTGTATTTGATGTTTTAGATGGTTTTCATAAACTATCTGAAATTTTGATTTATAAGAGTTATTAGGAATTAAAGCCAAAAATCATAAAATTTTGGATAAAAATTGCCCATTTGTATGTGTTTTACATTGCAAAGGAACATTTACATTTAAAACTAAATAAATTGTATGAGTAATCAACCTTTAAAGTTGAAAGTCACGTAATGTATGGTTTATGTGATAATATTTCATACGCATCGAAGCGTTTTACGTCAGTGATTTCAATTAGATATCAATTGATTCTAATTTAGAAATATGCTTCAACTGTTTACAATTTATTTAAGCTTGTTTTTATAAAAAAATTATGTTTTTAAATACATATTCTTTTAATAAAATTTTACAGTGAAGTCCTATAGTTTTTACCATACAGTTATTTTAATTTTAGTTTACACTAATATTTTCCTATGTTATTTAACATTATAAATTAATTTTATTTCCAAGACTGTAAAATCTGTTTTAATATGTATTTATAAAAATAATTATATTTGTATAAAATATGATCATCGAAAAAATTAATAAATCAAAATAAAATATTGTCGTATTTTTTCTATAATAGTGTAAGTGAAAAACTTAAATTGTTATTTTTAATTCTATGATATTATTAAAATAAAGTTAGTTTACCTATTTACCAATTGTAAAAAATAAATGATTAATGGATATTATATATTACTAGGCAAGAGGGGCGGTGTGGCCGAGTCGGTAACGTGGCAGTTCTTGACGGGCACTGCCTGGGGCTCAAAACTCGTTCACAAACAGCGTCGTTTATATATATATATATATATATATGTTTATGACTAGGTGTTTTATGTTATATGATAACATTAATATATATTTATTATACAATTGGTTAGTTTATTTCTAGTTAATATTCTAGTTCTAATTAATATAGTTAATTATGTATAATGTCATTTGAAAAACTTAAGTTGACACCCTTATAGGGGATGAACATAAAATTTTTTTCGTGATTCATAAATCGATGAAAACATGGAACTAAAAGAAACCAATGGAAAAATTATCAATATTATAAATATTTTTCGATTATTTAGATGGGGCGCATGATAAAAGAATCATTCTGTACATATCCGTTAACAAAAAATGTGTACATCGATATATCCATAAATCGATATAAAGTCTGAGATATTTTGCCATCCCTAATCGTTATTACTATTCCTTCAAATAATTTCCTTATTAAATTTAAGTATTTTTAAGTTTGCTAATCCTTGACAAATAGTAATTACGCTCTGTATATCATGTGATCAATGTGACTATTATAGACATATACAAATAAAATATTTAATCTAAAAAATGATGTCCACAATAATCCAAAAAAGATGATTTGTTTAAATTTATCATTCAATATTAAAGTAATGTAATTGTGACTGTACGATAAACGGCTCATTCGTGACATCCGGGAGAATTCGTTAGAACAAGTGTGCAATTTCGGCAAAAACGGTTACAAGGCTGATAGAAGGACGTGTGTTGAACCTATCGGAAAGATAGCAGCGTGTAGGACGACGCCTCTGGGAGGTCTTCCCACAGAGTTGAGTACAAGACGCCTCGACGGGAAACACATCAAACACACCTACGTGGATATTGCATATACACTTACGCACTTGCAATAATAATTATTACTATTCGTACAATACCATCGTATACCCTCGTTAACCAAACGATTTTTTTTCAATTCTCATCAGTCAACAGAATAATAGATGTTATTATAGTAAAATTACATTTTGATTTGAATTGACGTTCTACAATGTAAACACTTTGTATACCTTACTCTATTATTATTTTTTTATTACTCGGTATTAATTTTATTATTATGTTCGCTCGGATCCTTGAGTCTTGGATACTTAGAGTGGTCATTTGCCGATCGATGAGGTAGAAAAATTGATTTTTATATTTATGATAGCATCATTTGTTCTTGAAAATTTACCAACTTTGGAAAACGTTCACTACAGTGGAGTTAAAACTTACACGGATAGTGTGCCCGCACCATTTGGTACCTTGCCACCCTATTGTTTCCTTATGTTGTCTCACCCACACTACAGTAAAACTCGTAAAAAATATCTCATCACGTAGGCACGATGAGCCCACGTGTGTCGAACGTTGCGTGTTGTGACAAATTCAGAAAATAAAATTGTCTACACTTTTTATCGATCAGAGTCGATTTGCTATATTCTATTATATGCTATATAAAAATTATGCGACTTGCTACATAAAATTTAGTAAAAATAAACTTGAACGAAAAATAAATTTCTGCGAGTATAAAATAATCGATTGAAAAAATTACCTCATGGCGTAAGTGCCACCACATAAGATAAGATGTATTTTATTCTACACAGTGAGACCGATCACCACGTCATTTGTTAGGGAACTCCAATTGGCCATATAACAAGCCTATTTATCTTTAATTTTACAAAAAACTAAACTAATAAAGACTTAAAAAAATTATAATTTTTTCGATTTTTGAGCTTTACATATATTTTTTTTCATAATTTCGCTTTTGACGGTTATTTATTATGTAAATACAAAAGAATTGACTTTTTTGAATTCCTCACAAAATTATCTATTTATTAGTAGCAATTTCATAACTATGAAATTAACCTAAAGATAAAAGTAACAGTAAAAGTTCAGCTCTTTCTTTTGAAAAATATCCATCAAACTCAAATTTATGGGTCTAAAAAATGGTTTAACATATAGCCCCAAATTTCAATCAATTATTTTTTATCATTTTAATTATTATGATAATTATCATAATTCATCAAATTATATTAGAAAAGATAAAAAAATATAATTATTTTTTGTAATGATTTTTAATTAACACTTGATTATTATTTATTTCAAAAACTAGACGTGATGGAAAATATCTGATGATACATTCGGAATTAATGTCAACATTTTATGAAAAATCCCCTTAAAAACAGTAGACAGTAAAATAGCTGTTGCTGTCACGTGCAATATTTAAATAAATCATTTAATTAAATAAAAAGAAATTTTTGCCTCAAATAATTAACTTTTTGTGATTAAAATCAGATGATGCACATTATGAATAGTATTTTTCAATTTACCAAAGTTATGTATTAGAGACGTAAAATAAAATTCAAATCTCCGAAGGTCACTGGTGTAAAATCGACTTTATATTTTAAATGCATACTAAAAGGTGTAGTTAATTTCCATGCACGCGTTCATACATGATACCTTAATAAGGTAAAGCTGCGACCAATGCACAAATTAATGTTAATAAATGCTCTTGGTGACATTTGATATATTTTTAAAAAGTATTCTTTTAATAGCTTTCATGAACGTCAAATTTTAAACAAAGTATCTAAACTCGTTTTATTTGTATTTATCGCAATAAATATGTGTAATTTAAGGCCATTTTCTAACAAATTATCTCGCCAACAACGCGCCGGTGCTATCATATGAAAAATGCACGTCAAATGGATTGCATCGACGCAGTACACATTTTGTACGTTATATGCATACAAATTTACAGGATTATTGTTTCTTAAAAGAAAATATCATATGGTCACAGATTCCAATAAAAACATTGTAGTAGTTTAAAACGAGCAACTCAAGAGCGCTTATTCACAAAACGTGATGTAACGTTGTTTATACCTAACGCACATACACAAATTAGTACCTCATATTAATATTTAAAAGACAAAACGTTTTATTATTAAATTTTTACGATACCCATTACTTTGAATAAATTACAATACAAGATATTTAGTTAATATTGTTAAGCATTCAGAACTTCGAATATATACGGAACCCATAGTTAATTAAGATGTGATTAATGATTTATAAAGAACTCTGGATCCTCCCCATTGTGATGCCATTGATCCATAAACCCGTCCGCATTCATATTGTATGCATAATGTTATAATGTAAAATCTATATGATAGCAGCATCATATAGATTATGCATATCTGTCAGTTTTTTATTTTTCTTGAAGTTTTTTTTAAATTAATAATAATAGTTCAGTAGTTTTACCAACACAAATAGAATTAAATGTCTGCGAATAAAGCTTCCATTACTGTCAATCACTGATGATTCTATGAGAAAATAAGTACCTATAACGTCTACAACTACGTCAGACTTAAAGTGTCTCATAACAAAAACGTATTATATCGCTTTTTACAATATAAAGTAATTATATTCAATATAATGAAGCCATGTATAGTAATGACCTTTCCCGATAGAACGTAATTTTAAATTGATAATACTAAGGAAATGCAATTAGTAAATGCTATTTTGTCATTAAAAATACAATTGCTAATAACAACTTAGATGTACATCGTCAAAACACAGTAAATAACATCCTTACCAAAATGTACTTTATATACTTCTTGACTTTAAAACCTGAATTTTTCTATCCTAATTTTATTCATAACAAGGACATCATTTTGGAATTCTACCACCCTAATGTTCAATATTTTCTCATCAAAAAAATGTCATTATTTTTTATGCATCACTGTTTTCTTTTTACTTGAACATAAAAAATAAGGTCTTCAACTTATAGAATTATAGAGTGATACACCTAACAAAATTTACAAAATTTAATGTTCTATGAAAATTAAAATAAATACAGATGTTTTGGCGTTATACATTTATGTGTAAACTTAGTTGTTCGATATTTTATTTATGAAATAAAAAACTTAATGACTTAATTTTATCAATTTATATTCAATAACATTAAAAAAATTTTCATGGTTTAATAGCATCTTCTGACAATTTGAAATAATTAATTTTATTCTTCTAGTTGTTAAGTATTATTTCATAGCCTTTATCATAGTTGTAAAAACAATATAAATATAAACATTATAATTGTTGTTAAAATTAGCTAATTTTTAGGATTTAAATTATTCTGTTATGATTTTAAAATTTGACTTCCTATAAAATGTATTGTATAACTACTCTTGTTTTATTCCTAATATGATAACAGATTGCTTTATTCTTTAAGGTTAGGACTAAATCTAAATAAGTAATAGTAGAACTGGCAGTTAATGAAAGTTATTGATTTTTTGTTTTTATCAACGTAATTAGTTTGTATATCAATTCATATATTACGTACTATGTATTTGAAATAGCTCAGAATAATAATTGATGTCTATGCATTCTCTATCGATGAACTCGTATGGAGTCATATTAAATACACGCCGTCAGTTGAACAAATATCCCGTCGTTAAGTCAAGCCCACGACCGACAACAATTCTCGTCTGAATCGCATCTATGAATAAATCTACGTTAGACCTTCAATCATTCTGAAAAC